AGGGGTACGGTCCGGAGGAACGTTCTTGGGTACCTGGTTCCTTCATTGAGGATCCTTCCCTCATCCGGGAATTTGAGGCTACCTCTGCCAGGACGCCAGGGGGCGTCCGTTGAGGGGGGGGTACTGTCATGAGCCGGGGTGAGTACTCAGCACTTCATCTAATCATCTCGGAGTTTTTACCTGCAGGAGAGGGAGCGCAGCTGATCCGCATCAGACTCATCAGCGGGGCGGCTTTAAAAGGAGGACGGCTTTCCTCATTCGACGCCGGATGATTTTCTACTGCCTGGTAGATCCTAGCCTCACCGTGTTGTTTAAAGACTCGTCTCGTTTTTGCAAATCTTAAAACTTAGAAACTCGTTTTGACCTGAGCTCGTTTTCCTGGATATTCATCCACAGACTCAGACTCACCTCATCGTTGGATCCTTTCCCGTCTACGATTCATTCTCCGGTTCGTTTCCTGGATTCCTACTCCACCCAGCCGTCCCGCTCTCCACCGATCACGCTCTCTCTCCACTGCCTCATCCCCTTCCGCATTGTCCGTGCCACTCACCACCCCGGTAATCACAAGTCTCTTCTGGATTTCACCCCGGCTCAACTCCCCTCCAGATTCAGCATGTACTTCCTCATCGTAAGTCCCGCCTTCTTACTTTCCTTCTGAACTACAATTCCCATCACTCACCTCTGGTCTCCCCCCTAGTTTCCGCTTCCGGATTCGTCCTTCCACTGGATTGCCGGAACGCCTTCAGTTCACGTCCATAATTAAATAAAATAATTATTTATTTTTCTTTACATCGTCTCTGTGCCTGATTCTGTATGTCTTGGGTTAGATACCTACCTCAAAACATGACAGATATTGCTCAATATCATCTCCCTCCTCCAGCTTTGGCACTGCCGGCTGAACTCATCCTCTTGCTGCAGGCTCACCACTAGATTGGGCAAGAAGAGCTGGTTCTCCGTCTGGTGGTGAGGGGCTTGAGTCACCACCCGACTGTGAAGAAGGGCCCGGCTGAGGATCTAGTTCGCTTCTCCGCTGCCCTTCCGGGTCATCTCGAAGATTATTAACTTGAACTTGTATTTGCCTCCATCTCCTTTCCTGCTTGATTGCTTCTTTGTCCCATCTGTCAGTGAACTCACTTTGGGACTGAAGACATTTCTGCAGCATGACAACAGTGGAGCTCATACCAGCTGAAGCTGGGGTCTCCTCTCCGGTGTGCATAGCCACGGTCGGCCGCCCTGTAGCCATTTCCTGCACCACCTCCTCCACTGCTTCCGTCTCTACAGCCTTGCTGACCTTTGACTGCTGCTTTGGACCCATGATTACTCCTTCTGGACAGCTCTTGATGTCAGCGCCACATCCCACCTCTGCCACCAACTGTAAGGTTTTGGGTTCAGACAGAACCTTTGCCTTGTCATTTACTCAAGATGTTACCAGCTGTTGTCACCAGAAGAAAAGAGAGAGTCCAGGATTCACCTCCAGGTGAAGGTGTTTCAGACGAATCCTGCTGGCATGAGGACCAACCCAGGATACACTGGAGGAATTATATCTTTACATTGGCCAGGGAATGCCTCAGATTCCTTTCATTGGAGCTGGAGAGGGAGCTGATTAGGCCTCTCTGCTGGGGCTGATAGCCGCGTTACCTGGATTAGTGTACAAGACAAACAACTAATTCTTCCAATATCAGGTTGTTGTGTCAGTTAAAAGTAAATAAAACTGATCTGGAACCGGAACACCCCTTGTGTTACAAGGTAAATCAAATACAGTGGGTACGGAAAGTATTCAGAACCCTGTTGATTTTTCCCTCTTTGCTATACTGCAGCCATTTACGAAAATCAATACAATTATTTTTTTCCTCATTAATGTACGCAGCACCACATATTGACAGAAAAACAGGAGATCATTTGCTGCTGTGGCCCCCAGACTCTGGAGCGCTCTCCCCCTGAGCCTGCATTAGTGGACTCGGTGGTCTCCTTTAAAAAGCAGCTGAAAACCCACCTGTTCAAGCTGGATTTTGCATGACCTTCATCATCACTCTCTCCCAATTCAGCTCTTTCTAACAATACTGCCTTTTCCAGGATCCACTGATTTCCCTCTTTCCCATTCATTTTCTGTCTCCCTTTCCTTACATTTTTTTAAATCACTATTTTAATTTATTCTAATTTTAAACACATTTTGAATCATTTATTGAAATCTTTTTTATGCTTTTCTTTTGTTTGTGTTTGTGAAGCACCTCGTTATCTATTATGTATAACATACATAACGTACCTCGTTATACGTGTGTGTGTGTGTGTGTGTGTGTGTGTGTGTGTGTGTGTGTGTGTGTGTGTGTGTGTGTGTGTGTGTGTGTGTGTGTGTGAGTGTGTGTGTGTGTGTGTGTGTGTGTGTGTGTGTGTGTGTGTGTGTGTGTGTGTGTGTGTGTGTGTGTGTGTGTGTGTGTGTGTGTGTGTGTATTTCATATTGTCCAGGAAATGTTTCCATAAATTTAAATTTTTTCTTCTTTTATGTGGTTTTGAATCAAGTTTCCTTCTCAAATATTTTCTTACAGTTTCGAAACTCATCTCAAGTGAATGCTAATATTTTACCTTTTTTTATTTGCACTTTTATGATCATTAATTATTTAATATCTTATATGTTGAGGACTGGGTTTCCCTATCTGTAAACCAAATAAAAACTCAACCAAATGGAATTACAACAACATTGTGCTTGGCAAAAAAAAATAAAAATAAAAATAATAATAATAATAAATAATACAAATGGGGGGGGGGGGGGGGGGCTAAAAATAAATATAAAAAGACAAAAAATAAAAATCTGCTCCCAGACGAAATCCATGTCCAGGAATGTCAAAATGCCAGGAAAGAAGTCAAGAATCTGAGATAAATATTCATGTTGGGAAACATGATTTGTTGAAGTCAAAATATTGATATAAAAAGCCAAATACTTTGTTCAGGGCAAAAATAGGCAGATTTTTTAGGAAAAACTTATTGAGTTGAACTCTACTCTGCTCCTGAAGCTTACTAGCCGAGGAGATTTTTTATCAGTAAGGTTTTTTCTAACCAGATGCCCGAGCCACCTGAACTGGCTCCTCTCAGGCATGTACTTAGGATGCCTCCTGGACGTCTCCCTGGTGGGGTTTTCTATGGCGCGGTATGGGGGCCAAAATTAAGACTACTGCCCAGCAGCAGGAGGCTATATAAGTTCCGAAGCAAACTACTGATCTGATTAATGATAAGCTGGCGCCGGTAACTGAGAGGCTGGCGCTGCTTACTGAGAAGTAGTATGGCGCGGTATGGGGGCCAAAATTAAGACTACTGCCCAGCAGCAGGAGGCTATATAAGTTCCGAAGCAAACTACTGATCTGATTAATGATAAGCTGGCGCCGGTAACTGAGAGGCTGGCGCTGCTTACTGAGAAGTAGCACCTTTACCGGCGTCACTACTAGATATGCTAGGGACTAGCAGCCCTCGGCTGGTAATTGACTGGATCTCACACTCCCTCTGCTGTCTATTAGCATGGATAGGCTAGCGTTAGCCTGGACGGGCTGGTGTTAGCATTGGAGAGGCTAGCCATTAGCGTGCCTAGGCTGGCCACTAGCTGGATTTCCTACCTCCTCGACGGACCATTAGCATGGATAGGCTGGCGTTAGCATCGGAGAGGCTAGCCATAAGCGTGCCTAGGCTGGCCACTAGCTGGATTTCCTACCTCCTCGACGGACCATTAGCATGGATAGGCTGGCGTTAGCATCGGAGAGGCTAGCCATAAGCGTGCCTAGGCTGGCCACTAGCTGGATTTCCTACCTCCTCGACGGACCATTAGCATGGATAGGCTGGCGTTAGCATCGGAGAGGCTAGCCATTAGCATGTCTCGGAGAGTCACTTTATTAGATGCGGTTTTTTTTTTTTTTGTTTTAACTTTTATTAAACGTATGACATACGGTGAGACCAGCAATCACAGTTGCTTCTTTGACAGAACACACTGTTCTACAGATTAACTTTAAGCATATTGTAAAGCTGACAGCCTGTTAGCATTGATCAGGTGCTGCGTAAACTCCATTCTATTAATTACATGTTGATGGCGTTTTCTTTTTAAATAGTTTGTTTTTTTTGCACATATCAGAGAAAAAGCCAGAGCTAACTAATATGTACTTTTCATCTCTGAATTTTAAATCCTTTGTATTGAATTACAGGTTAGTAATTATTAAAATTGTGATGTTATCTTTATTAAAACTATATATGTAAAATGTGTCTGATAATCATTTCCCTTAGGGGAACAATAGTTTTGTTGCACTAAACTTACTGTTGTCTCTGCTGAAGGTTATGGGATGTGAAGTTTTCTCCTCAGATGATCTTGTCAAAAGAAAAATAGAGTATGGCTGAATTTATACTTTATACCACACACAGTAAGTCAAACTTTACTACAACAAACAGCTGGAGTTTGACCTGAATTTTAAAAGTGGAAAAAGAACTTTATTTAATTAGTCAGCAACCTGTATCCTATTTAAGTCACCACCTGCTTATGTATTAAAATTTAAAGCTCAATAAAACTGTAGCACTTCTTCAATAAGAGTTTTTGTAGATTAACCCTCCCACTGTTCTAATGGGTGTGACCCCACAAGGAAAGCTGACCATTGAGCAGGGTTGATGGTTTATCCCTTGGGTCCACGTGGCAGGGGTGAGGAGTGAACACCACCTCACCCCTGCCACGTGGACCTCAAGGGATAAACCATCAACCCTGCTCAATGGTCAACTTTCCTCGCGGGGTCACCCATAGACAGTGGGAGGGTTAAAGAAATTCATCAACATCACAACAAAGTCACATATTTTACTGATAAAAATTAGTGTTTAACAGTGTTGTAGACATGTGTAGTCATTTTTGCATTTTGGTGCAGTTTGTTTAATAAGCTGGTTGTTCGTTCAAAAAAGGTATAGGAACGACATTCATATAGTGCTACAAGTATTCATGTCTCAATAACACCCCCCCCCCCAAAATAAACAGTACTAACACAAATAAAGAAGGAACACACGTGTCATCAGCCCATCTGTGTCTTAGCCATCAATACATGTTAATTTTATGTTGACACATTATCATAAGTCCTGCTCATGACAGACATTTTTTTTTCAAGTGAAGCACATAATCAGGCATTTACAGTTTGATTATACACTTTTAGAGCAAGTTACTTTGATGCTAAAAACAGCAACTACTTTGAACACCAAGAAGAGAATTAAAGTTCAGCCAGTCGCAGTGCTTCCATGTACAAGTCTGCTCCAAAACATGAGCTGGCTGTTAACGGGTCTATTCTGTCCAACAATCTGTTGACATTTTGTATTAGTGAGTCTGGATGCTCTGGCACGACAATGTCAGCAGTGGAATCAGAGGCTGGTAAAGATCCCTCAAAGTCATTGCCCCATTCACTGAGGCTGACCTGTGTGGACAAACAAATATTCAAAACAATATTAATGACAAAAAATTTTGCACATTTAACATGTAAAAGCAGAGCAGTACTCAAAAATACAAATATATTTATCATACTGGTTGAGTTGGTTCCACTTCACTTGTCAATTGCCCGGAGATCCACAGCTGGTCAGGGGAGCGGTTTCCAGCAGAGGAAATGCGGTGTCTGTCCCAAGTTCTTCTGAAGACATTTAGGTGGGCGTTGATTCTTGGAATCATTACGTAGTGCAGGCACAGCAGGTGGATCTCATTGTCAGAATCAAGAGCACCCGTAGTTTCCATGTACTGGAACACTGCATGGTAGTTGCAAACCACTGACTGCCACAAATCACGCCAAAGCCTCTCAATGCGTTGATTATGAACACTTCGGCCCGTGATGAAACATCTGCTCTCTAAAAAGAAAAAGCATGTTATCACAAAGACCTATACATCTTCCTCTATAGGAGAATTTGGTCTAAATATGTACATAAATATATTAAGAGAGAATATAATTTAGCCACACTGCAACATTGACCATGGAGACACTTTTTACCCTGAAGCCAGTAAAGGTGTAAGTTGAGAATGAACCATGCCACTCAAAAAAAAAGTGACGTGATTTTTGCACACAGGGTTATGTGCAGATGGGGGAGAGACAGATGAGCAGTGTGGTGGACAAATTATGATCCAGTCTTTAAAAAAAGGATGTTCACGATGAGGTTTTTCCAGTACTGTACTTTACAAAGGCAATTTTATTTATTAATTTTATTGAGAAAAACATTTAAATTATTGGTTGCCATCAGTATGTGAACATTACTGCATGCAATATGAAATCCAGTGGGGTTTCCCCACACAGATGACCAGCTCAGTGGCATAGTGGTAGAATGTCTGCCCTGAGACAGGGAGATTAGGGTTCAAATCCTGGTCAGGTCATACCAATAACTTTGAAAATGGGACCCAATGCCTCCCTGCTTGACACTCTGCTTTAAGGTGTTGGATTAGGGGGTCAAACCACCAAATAGTTCCCGATCACGACCGTGTCTGCAACTCACCACTCCCCATGGGGATGGTTCAAATGTACAGGTCAATTTTCATCACACACCAGTGTGTGTGTTAACTATGAGACTTTAACTTTAACAATGACATAAAACGCTCCACAAAAACAGAACATACCTATGGAAACACAAAGCTGCCACCTACACATAAGAAAATGAGCAGTATCACATGATAAAATTGTATTAAATAATAATGAAGTTATCTAGACAAGGGCAGTAAACTGAAAATTTATCATTACCAAAATGTACAACTTTTACCAATGTCATTTTGCCATTTAAAAAAATGAAAAGATCAGAGTAGGCTGCTGATGTCCATGTCTTTATAACTCATTCACTGCCATTGATGACAAAAGTCGTCATTTTAAATCCAACCGTTCACTATTGTCATGTATTTACTGTGTGGGCAGGGTCCGAAATTAAATTTTTTACTCACCGGCCAAGTTGGCTGGTAGATGATGAAAATCTACCGGCCAAGCATATTTTTTTACCAGCCAAAATTCTAAATGATTTAGATCTACCTAAAGCATGTTATTCTATATTATGTTGATTCCAAACAGAGTGACAAAATAATTAAAACATCAATTAATAAGAAAAACAACTCTTTTGTCATTTTTACTATTTATTTATTTATTTATTTATTTTTAGAGATGTTTTTATGAACTCTTTCAATGAAATCTAGTCAGACTCCTTGTTTTCTCTGTCCATGAAGTCTGGCCTCCTGCTTCTGACACCGTCTTTGTGCCAAAGCATTACAGCCTCATTTGGGTCCTAGTCCTTGATCTCTGGAGAACACAGCTGCACCATGAGTATATCTGAAAGTGTGTCAGGGCTAGGGTTGTCACGGTAACCGGTGTAGTAGTAAACCCCGGTAAAAAAGTTGACAATAATAACCATCTTGTTTTTAAAAAATATATTATCTCGGTGGGTTACCGTGGCTGCGGTGTAGGCGCGGTGACCCTTACCAGCCACCGTATCATCTGCTGAAGTTGCCGGCGGCACATGCGTACTTTGTTGTTTACGACCAAAACTTTCTTGAAGCTAAAGCTGAAATAATGGCCAAAGGAGGAGACGGCAGCACTCGGGACATTTATTATCCCTCAAAGAAGACAAAGTCGGAAGTATGGGCATTTTTTGGATGTTTGAAGAATGCCGAGGGACAGTTGTCTGTGAAAGGCAGCAACGCTACGTGGCCATCATAATGTAGCCATTGTCTCACGACTCTGCCGTCTCCAGTTCGCCACTTTTCACAAAATCTTCTGGTTGCCACTGGTCCTGGTGGTTTTCCTTCCAGTTTGACAAGTTTTCTTTTGGAAGGCTGGCTGACTCCAGTTAAAAACCGCCACATTTCACCGCTAGTTTTAACACGAAGCTAACTGCTAACTTGATAAACTGATTGAATGGGATAGGTGGAAATGACGTTGGATGCGGCGTTCACGTTTCGCGTACGTTGCATGCAGGCGGGAGGAGTATCAGAAATCCATGGAAGATGACTGATAAACATAACTAATTTGGTGCAAATATTTACTCGCCAGGTGGCAGGTAGAGCTCAAAAATTTACTCGCCAAATGGAGCAATTTGCTCGCATTTGGCGAGTGTTAATTTCGGACCCTGTGTGTGGGCGTCACGAGCCCCCGCTCCATGTGAACTAACATCTCAGCTCTAAAGCCGATCTTCATCTGCATACGTCACACGTCACGTGATCAGGAAGCAGAAAATCCATGTGTTAGGAGATCGTTTTGGCCGCTGCTGTAAAATAGCAAGGCGTGAACCAGAAAAGCTTCTTCCGATCACAATTCAACAGCGAATTATGAAAGAACGGATAACGCTCGAAACGCGCTGATTCTTCCTGATGTAAGAGGTGAGTCTCCGCTTTGTTTTGGTAGTTTTTGCATTGACAGAGCGCAAAATTCTGTGACTCTTAACCTTCCCACTGTCTTTATGGGTGATCGCGCAAGGAAAGTTGACCATTGAGCAGGATTGAAGGTTTATCCCTTGAGGTCCACGTGGCAGGGGTGAGGTGGTGCTCACTCCTCATCCCTGCCACGTGGACCTCAAGGGATAAACCAACAACCCTGCTCAATGGTCAACTTTCCTCACGGGATCACACCCATTAGGACAGTGGGAGGGTTAAAAAAACTGTGAAAACGCTAAAAAATGCTGTCAGCGATGGGCTTTTCTGATTAGAAAATGGCTGGCAGTTAATGAGTTAATGTTTGGTGGGGAATGGTGAGTAATATAGATACCTGGTCCACGGAGTGGATGTTCAAGCATACATCTGGCCACAGTCACATTTTCGCCACCCTTGTCACTGCGGACACAGAGTGGCAAACCAAACTGCTGCACAGCTCCCAAAAAAGCCTGGTGAACCGTTGAAGCCTTGTTGTTGTTGGAAGCCTGAAGGTACATTATCTTTCTGCTGAAGCCGTCAATGCACCCATGAATGACAATTCTCCACCTTGAATATATTAGAGAGGCTTGAAGGAGTACACAATTGGTTTCATGTGAATCAATTTTGATGTTACTCACCGAATAAGTTTGTGGTACCCATCCAAGTGCCACAATGACAGTGGGGCAGGAACAGAGTATGATCGCCGTTGAATAGGGTTCAAGCACAGACCACGAAGGAGATTACCAAAAGGGTCGACAGTTTGCATCGTCTCTCTCAGCCTAGACTCAGAGACTCTATTAAAAAAAGGGACACACACACACACACACACACACACAAGTTAATTTAATTAGCTAATCATCATAAAATATTGCATTGACTGAAACTATCTACTCTTATTTTAAAGGAGACATAACATGCTTTTAAGTAATTCCTTTTTACATCTAAATCCTTCAGTTGGGGTCTAAATACAGTCGAACTGTATTTGGTCTGATTTCCTCATTATTGTTGCTCTACAGACCCTCATCTACCTCTGTTCTGAGGAGTCTTGAGAATGAGCCGTTTTTGGGTAGTCTCTTTTAATCTGGAGAAGGAGCTGTAAACTACGCCCCCCTCCACAGTGCAGAACTTACTCTCCTCCCCCAGTCGGACTTTGTATTTCTATAGAGAAATCATTATTTAGCGTAGCGGAAATGTAGTATTAGCATTTTTCAAACGTGGGGAGATTTGTTCACCAAGCTGTTTCAGGTCTGCTAACTCTCATGCATTTGTCTGTAGTAGTCACACACACACACCTGTCATGGCCGACGGAGGGACAAGCGAGCGGGCACGTGCACAAACACACACACACAAAGAATGCTGCTTGCTTAATTCATTTCAAATCTAGAAACTTTTAAATCAAAATAAAAAACCCTCATGTTTTCATCAGTCTTTGAATAAATGTTCTTATGCTGCACCTTCTGCACTGTTTTTGCTCACCCTTTAACCTTACCTTAGTTTCTTTGTCGTTTTTAAATTGTATTTTCTGTCATGTAGATTTTAATGCCAATGGAAAGCACATTGAATAGTCTGTGTATGAAATGTGCTATACAAATAAAGCTCCCTTGCTTACACCTTCAAAGCCTCACTGCATACTTTATCCAAGTGCACTTCACAGAAGACTCTATGGGTGGAGTGCGAGTATTAGGATTAGGACAAAATGTTTCAAATCAGCAAATGAATCCAAAGCATGGATACCAAGCCTTTATACAGTCTCAGTCTAAGTTTTGTACTATTTTCTAATTTTTCCAGTTTCACCTGTATGTTTCTACGACACAAGTTTTAAGAGTTAACATCAATGCAATATTCAGTATGTGTACAATAGTTGTGCAATACCAGACGTACATTTAGTGCTGCATAGTTCTGGAAACCTAAGTTTTCTTTTTATATGTTGTTTATAGTGGATGAAGGTTGCAATAATAGCTTACTGCCTTTGTGTGTTTACCTGTAACCTTATATTTTTCTTCCTTTGTTTCTCTTAAGTGTATGTATGTGCATCTGTTGCAATTGAATTCACACCCTAAGGGATTAATTATCTATTCTATTATAACAAGCAACATAATGGAATTTATAATGATCACTTTGCTCAGTTGTCACATGATTCTTACCTGATACCCATGGTCCTCAGGTAACCGTTCACCATTCTGTAACCTGAATTCGGATTTGTATCCAGATGTGCAGAGACAATGGCTTGTAACTCTGCACTTGTAATGTCACTGAAAGTTTGTTGCACTGACAGACCATGCTCTTTCAGTCTTCTCTTTATTGTCCTTACGCTGACACATAACAGGCGTGCAATGTCTTGAATTGTAAAGTCGAAGTTAAGCAAATATTCCAATTGCTCCGCTGTTATGATGAATGCTGGGCGTCCTCTGTTGCCCATCCTTACTGTAGGGACTCGGAAACCTGTAATTGATGTTGGGGATCCACTTTCCAAAAGGTGACATGCTTCTTCCAGCTTCTGTAAGGCCTGGTCAGCATTCACAAACAGGTCTGAGTATCTTCCTAAAAGCCTTATGATGCAGTCCAGCTGGTAGCAAGCATAGTCTGAATTTTCAGTGGAATGTTGCTGAGAAAGGCTTTGGCTGACTGAATTGAGCAGCGCTGTTACTCGTGATGCAGCCATTGAAATGTCATACTGACTGTAAACACAGAAAGTTATGTTATTAACTGTTAAACAGTAAAGATCAGAAACAGCCTACACTTGAACAATACCACATAATTTAGGAAAATATCCTATTTTGATTTTTATGGCAGAATGTGATTTCCATTCAATTCACAAATATAAATACCATCAAAATATTACATTTTTTGGCTCTAATATTGCAATGATAAAACAAAAAGTAAGAATTGCTTTCGAGCATATTTATTTAAATTAAAGGGACTTTTCTGACTTTTGAATTTTTATGCTCGCGATTGCCCCCTCAGGCCAAAAGCATAACGGCAGCTTCAATAGTAGGCTCGTGCACGAGGCGCGCATGCTGTACGTGCACACTCCTTCATGAAAATAACAGCTGAGACAGTCCCGTGTGTGTGCCCCGGAGGACAGAAGAACACAACAAATTAATAAAAATAATGTGCCTCTGTCTCTGCAGCTGCACTTTCTCGTCGGCCGGCCGAACGTGCAGTGTGTGGTGTGTGTGTGTGTGTGGGTGGGGCCCGGAGGACAGAGGACAGGAGAACGTGCAGCTAATTAATTAAATAGTTTGGTTCTGTACCTTTCTCTTCAGCACAGCCGACAAAGGTTTATGATGGGTCAGTCCTGCATGCTCAGATCATTCCCTTCCCTTGCTTGAAAAATTGTTCCAAAATGAAAGTTGAACCCACATCTTTTTTATCTGTGAATTCAACGCCGTTCGGCGAGTCTCAAATAAAAATTTGGGCGTTTTACTGTAAAAAAGTATACCATTAATGTAAAAAAGAAACTCCAAATAAATTGTGTTCACACCCAGAATCGAACCCAGGACTTCTGCATGAGAGTCAGACATCTTACAGGGTGAGCTACGTGCCAGTAACATTTGGTGTATCTGTAACTTTTATATCGTTGATGACAGCTGAAACAACATCAATCCAAAGAACGGTTCGGAGCGAAAATGGCTGTTTTGTTGCTAATTAGCAGGAAATATCTAGAAGAAAGTTCTACAGAAAGTAGCTAAGGGTCCTCAGAAATGTAGCTAGCTTTGTCACTAGGCGTTAGGAACAGCGACAAAGTGGCACTGCCTCTCTCTCTGCTGCTAAAGCTACGGATAGCAAATGCTACGGGCTATGCCTGAGCGTGAACGCGCATGAAGCAGCCTGCTCGACCCGAGCATCTCTCTTTTTCTGTGATTTTACAGAAAAACAGGCAATCACAGTAAAAATGCCAGGGCTCATTCTACAGGACCAGGGCATTGCAGGAGAACGTATGAAGAAGAACTTTATTATTTCTATACATGTTTTGGCTGTCAAACTTCCATAATGTCCCTTTAAACATGTACGCAGACTTTTTCCTGAGTTGTTTTACTGAAAGGGACCGCCTGAATGTTTCACACAAATACACTGCTACAACACCAAACACTGCCACATTGGACACTCTTACTTCCAATTATTATAACTCTGCAACGTTTGTGCCAGCTACTACAAGAAGGGTGTAGGGAGCCAAAGTCACGCCCATCTACTTCCAAATAATACTGGAACGATACCTCTTTCTGGGCTGCCACATTACTGTGGTGGAGGGGTTTGAGTGTGCCAATGATCCTAGGAGCTATGTTGTCTGAGGCTTTATGCCTCTGGTAGGGTCACCCATGGCAAACAGGTCCTAGGTGAGGGATCAGACAAAGAGCAGCCCGAAGACCTCTTATGATAATATAAATGGACAGTGTTCCATTTCTATAGGCCATTTAGAAAGTGGATTTATGCTGTAGATGAAAGGTTATTATGTTGATCAATATATAGGTGAAAATTGACCCTTTTGGAAGTTACACCTGCTGATTGAAATCAGTTGTGTTGAGGCAGGGTTAAAAGTAAAACATGCTGGATACTGGCCCTCGAGGCCCGGAACTGAATAGCCCTGCCATAGGCTCACCACTTGTGGGAGGGGCCAAAGGGGTTGGGTGCAATGTGTGATGGGTGGTAGCCGAAGATGGGGACCTTGGCAGTCTGATCTCAGCTACAGAAGCTGGCTCTCGGTACGTGGGTTACCCATGGTGGGTAAGGAGCCTGAGTTGTAGGGATGTGAATCTTAAAGCAACTCACAATTTGATTCGATTCAGATTCTCGGGGTGCCGATTCGATTCAGAATAAATTCTCGATTTAAATCGATTCACAATCAATATTAACAAAGAGTCTCAGCTCCAGGATTAACTACTTTGTTGTGCAAGTTAGTTAAAGCTATGGGAATTTTTTTATTTTACTTTAAACTGGTCATGCAAAAAAAAAAAAGCTAATTTACAAGTAAAATAAAGTGATTCTAAAACTGTAAACAGAAACAATCTTTAGACCAAATGGCAACTTTTTTTTTTGCTTATCTTGTAAAATATAACAAATCTTTAGTTACCTAACAGTAGCTTTGAAAATAATACAGTCAAATACTTTTTAAGTAACTCTGGAAACATGTTTAACATTTGAGTCTTCAACCTGTTTAAAAAAAGTGCCTCAGATTTCTTACAAAGGAAAATGTGTTCTCTCATTTATCAATAACTTAAAATAAACACATGAGTAATCCTGAGTACTCACTTATCAACTTAGAAAATAAATATGAGAATATCTCAAATTTCTGAGTATGGAAAAAAATGACATTCTAGTCCCCACTTTTCAGCAGATTCAAAAATAAATCATCCCAATTTATGGGACCACAAAAGTAAATGGAGTACTGACTCTCCTAACAAAGACCAAAAAACATACAAAAGTGCATATCAAACCTGTAACATGCCAAAAATTTGAGTTCCTGGAATCGATTCTGAACCTTTATAAATAAGAATACCCGATTAAGACTTGAATCGATTTTTTTCAGCACCTCTACTGAGTTGGTGTGAGAGGTTGAGAGGTTTTGAGTAGATATAGTCAGACTCACCTCGACACATGGCTCTGGCTCCGGAACCAGTTTCCTTAAGAGGGGATGGACACTCTACCACTCTGGAATTGCCCCCACTGAGAGGCGCAGAGCAGGGGTGGGCATACTAGTTTAGCGGACTGCGAGGAAATAGGTTTAGCTTTTGCCTCTACCAATGGGGGTGCTAAAAGCAATACAAAAATGCATATTCTCCCTTTAAGCCGCAGGGGTGCCTAATCCTGGTCCTGGAGGGCCGGTATCCAGCAGGTTTTGTGGTTTTTCTGCTCCAACACACTTGAATCAGTGTTGAAACACCTGTGCAGAAGCTCATCAGGCTCTGCAGAAGCCTATTAATTAGCTGCTGATTGAAATCAGATGTGTTGAAACAGAGTTCAAACTAAGGCCCTGTCCACACGTAGCCGGGGATCTGCCAAAACGTAGATATTTTTCTACGTTTTGGCCTGTCATCCACACGAAAACGGAGTTTTTTCACACAAAAACGGATCTTTTTAAAAACTCCGGCCAAAGTGAAGATCTGAGTTTTCTCCGTTTTGGGTGTCTGCGTGTAGACGGACAAAACCGGAGTTTTAAGGTCCGCAACGTCACTTTCCACGACAAAAAATGCTGACATCACGTGTGCGACCTGTGTTTACACTAGCCGACAGCATGGATGCCCTCAGAGCTGCGCTCGCTTTATCAATTGTCCAAGCGCTTTTTGCTTGTTTGTTTTTGTAAGCGGAATTACTGCTCCTTGCGGAAGACCACAGACGAAGGACGAGGTTAAGAACGGGGGAAGTACTGCCGCCTACAGGTCTGGCATGTCCTTAACAACGTATTTATCCGGGTACGTGTGGACAGAGCTTTTTTTTTAAACGAGGTGGTGTGGATGCAAGTTTTTGGAGGGGCGGATATTCGTTTTTTTTAAAAACCCGGCTACGTGTGAACTAGGCCTAAAACATGCAGGATACCTGCCCTCCAGGACCAGGATTGGGCACCCCTGCTTTAAGGAGTCATTCTTTTGAGTTAGTTACCTTGACAATGCATGTATGATTGTGAAATAGGAATGCACGTTTTTCAAAATGTGTGAACGACTGAGACCCTGTTCACCCATTCTACTACTAGATGCTGTTCCTACGAATGGTTAGAAGTTTTCTTATCCTTAGAAACTTTTTCACGCACGAGTACAAAATGACGAATGCTAAACAATGCGTAAATTAGTTAATACACACAGATCTGTGTGTAAGTACGGTTGATAAATGAGGCCCCAGGTTTGAAGTCTAGGTGTTATAGTTTAATAATAGGAGTAGATTAGAATGATCATGGAGTGGAAAATTTGTTTGGAATTGCCCTTTCCTAATCAAGGACAATAAATGCAAGGACAATATTTGTAGACTTCAGCTCAGCATTTAACAAGGTCTGCCCAGCTCTCCTTCAGGACAAGCTATCTGTGCTGAACGTGCCCAACCCCATCTATCCAGTGGATCACAGACTTTGACAGATAGGATACAGAACGTGAGGCTGGGAAAAAGTCTCAGACACCCGAACCACCAACATTGGAACCCCCTGGAACCCCCCAGGGCTGTGTCCTCTCTCTACTCTTCTCCCTCTAAACTAACTGCTGCACCTCTAACTGCCACACGATAAAACTGGTCAAGACACCACCCTCATTGGCCTTATCTCAGATGGGGATGTGTCTGCATACAGAGGAGAGGTGGAGTGCCATGCTGGTGCAGAAACAACAACCTAGAGCTGAACGAGCAGATGACAGTGGAGATGATTGTAGACTTCAGGAGAACACCAGCTCCACTGCCCAGAATAACCATGACACAGACATCCAGATTTCAACCGTGAACTCCTTTCGCTTCCTTGGGTCCACCAAAGAGGGAGGGGTCCATCAATACCCTCATCAGGGAGGCCCAGCAAAGGACGTTCTTTCTGCATCAACTGAGGAAGCTCTGCATGCCATGATGATCCAGTTCTACATGGCCATCATCAAATCAGTACTCACCTCCTCCATCACTGTGTGGTACACAGGAGCCACTGCCAGAGACATACAAAGACTGCAACGGGTAGTGCACTCAGTGTAGAAAGTAATAGGATGCAGCCTTCCATCAGTACATGACCTGTACAACTCCAGGGTTCTGAAACGTGCAGGTCGAATAACAGCTAACCCCTCTCACCCTGGTCATGGACAGTTTGAAACCCTACCTTCAGGGAGGAGGTTCAGGCCCTTACAGTCTAGAACCTCACACCACAAAAACAGCTTCTTCCCCTCTGCTATAAGGCTCCTGAACAACAAATGAATGGCCAAAACACACACAAATGCCCCGGTAGGGCTGAACGATCTATTGTTTTTGGACCGAAATAGCGATTTCAAACAGCACGATCACGTGACCGTCAAAGCTGCGGTTTTAGAGGTTTTGACTGATCCAGGATCAGTTGTGTCACTTTTTTTTTACATCCGGGGTTTTCCCCATGTTATGGTGGCGGCAAAGGCCAGCGCGAGGGAGGGGGTGGGGAGTACCGTCCAGAGCCGAGCCCAACTCCACAGATGCCAGAGCTGCATGTTCATGTTATTTTCCCTGTTTTATGTTTCCACACACAGCGCTGCTAGAGCCGGTAATAATGGCACCGTTGGTGAGCCGGGGACAGAGAGAGAGAACGTAGTTGAGTAAAGCCTGATTTTTGCTTCTCCGTCTGCGTCAGTGCGGAGACACGCAACGCCATTATCCGTCCTTGCGTAGGGCTCCGGCAGGCACGCAAGTATGTACGGAGTCGAGCCCACTTTTTTAAACATCTGTCGAACGAGACGGATTACGCAAGCTTGTGATTGGTCAGGACGCTGCTGTTGTTTACAGCGTCGCCATTGCAAAGAGAGCCGAGGATAACTAGCGGCAGACACGGAGAAGCTTGAAGAATACCTCGCGAAAAAACTCTAAAAATATGAACGTTTCATCCTCCCGTGACTGGAGGAGTGAAAAGATACGCAGCAAGCGTTTTATTTGTGGACGGAAATGACAGGAAACGTGGGTTTAGAGGTGGGGAGCGCATGAAGCGGTGGGAGAATGAGAGACAAATATGTCCGTGTTAAAAGTCTCTTATATACACAAAAAACACAATATAAACACACTATCTTGGACCGATACATGACAGGATACCACAGAACAGCGCTACGCCCTCTGTGGTCCTGCCGGGCAATTGCTTTGCAACACTCTCCAGGAGACGGAGAAGTATGAAAGCAAAACACTTCCGTCAATCCGTGTGTGTCTGTCCCTTGCGGAGCTGACGGAGAAGCATAAACCAGGCTTTAGGGAGCCGTCTGGCTGTGTCAGCTTGCAGCGTGCAAACAGGCAAAAGAGATGTCTCAAGGATGCTTGTTCCGAATTGGCCGGTTCGGAACTCCACTAGAAACTGAATCCCTCGGGAAGTAATTCTTGTTTTATTAAACTACAATGTTATGATTTATGGCGTATTCTGGCAAGTCCGAATTTGAGAAGTTTCTGGTTATTTACCAACATTCCTCAGAAAGCCACGCCCTCCTTCAGATACAAAAATGTTTTTAACCTTAATATGTATCTTTTTGCAACGTGTATGAGTAAACAATGATTAACTTGTTAAGTCAAACACAGTGATTTGAGATATAAATGGATCATTGTAAGAACAATATTCATTTCAAGTTCATTGATTTAAGCACAGATTATTCATACATTTCATTTAAACATCTTGTTCATTCATCACATGATTATTTAGCATATAAGTTGTAATGCCTTGTAGGATTCGTGTAGATTCACTTTTATTCAGAGTGAGGAATCCAGCAGTACGACTTTTAGCAGAGAGAAGGGCTTTTGTGGGAGACCTTGGCAGTTTATTTATGTCTGCGTTGAACAATAAGTGAGCAAAAGGTTGATTTGTGCGTCTGGATCCTCTTGCTGGTGCAACCTTGACTTTGCAGCTCTGGCGTGCATGAAAGGTTATTGTGTCAATTCGATGGTGAAAATTGACCCTTTAGATTCATTACAATCATGATTATCAGTTTTGCCATAATCGAGCAGCCCTAGACTGAGTCAACTATTCACACCTGCAGCTTGACTTCTGTGTCATTTTAAAAAAGACTATTACCTTTGTCAAGGATAGGGGGATATTTGTTAAATAATTAAGACATTGAATGCCAAATTCAACCTGAAGAACTGGTACACCTTAGACTCATGAGCATAATAATTTGAATAATATCAGGCCAAGTAACAATGCTCTCTCTTTGAATTAAGCACAGTTGTGTTTTTATATGATTATTAATGTTATTTGAGAAATACAGACTTGCTACACAGTGAATATATGATACATTTTTGTGGTATTAAAAACACAAAGATTTAATGTTATTATTATAAAATATTTATTAGGACGCTGAACCAAAATGTTCCTGAGCCAGCTGTTGAGGATAAGGACACTCCAGGCACAAATGAGCGGTAAGAACAAAGCACATAGTTTAAACATTCTTCTTTTTTAGTTTTGCATTGTGAGGTATTATTTGAATTTAATTAGGGATACTTAATCCGATCACGTGATTAAAAATTGACCCCAATCACATGATTTTCAAAGTATCTTAATGGATGCAAAAAAATAAATAAATCTGCTTCAACATTGGAACAAGAAATATCTTTTAAATTCATCCTGTGATAGACACTTTGAAACTTAACGACAATGGCTTAGTTTTAATTTTTACAAGTTCCACTACATCAGTATTCATTGTCTGTTAGACGACAACACTGTAATGTCACACAATTTACAGTGGGTGCAAAATTCAGAAAACATAACATGTAGCGGTTAGCTAGGTAACGTCTCTTCAGGAGAGAAAAATGTCTTCCGTTTGGACATATTGTAAACCGGACAGTGAAGTCAGTGTAACTGACCTTTGTAATGTGTGCATACTGGGTACTTCCTGTGGTAGAAAATACAGAGCTGCATGATCTACCGCCTTTCTCTTTTGGCTTTTTACTTAACCTTAACCCTTACCCATCGTTTAAATTTTCTAACGTTAAAGTCATTTGAGCACAAAAAAGTGCTTTGTGAAGTAAGGGTTAAGGTGTTGCCAAAGCAAATTACCATTAAGTCCCAGTTTGCCACAAACATTGCCAGTTCTAGGTGGCAACTTGGGCAAAAACACTGAGCCAGCCAGCATTGATTTTTATTTCATTTACTTTTATTTAACCAGATGAGTCGATTGAGAACTCATTCTCATTTACGACGATGATCTGGCCAAAAAGCAGCAGCAAAAGACACGTAGTTAGCTTCGAAAGATATGTTGATAAACAAAGATAAATTGCTGTGGAACTGCAAAACATCAGGGTTCGTTGTCTCTAGCTGCGTCAGAGCTGCTTGCGGTAGCTACACGTGTTGTGCAGAGTAAAGCGAGCCTGCCATCCGTGGCGTTACATGCCTTCCCCAAAATGGGAACACTCATCACTCGATACAGCTGTAAATTGAAGACATAAAAAATTGTAAATGTGAGCAATGACTCTGCTTTTAAATATTCATTATATGAACAAATTTATCAATGTACTTCGTAAACCAGTGATTTTTGGTGGTAAGCTAATGAAAATACAAATACAAGAAGAAATAAATATATAATTGATAATAAAAAAAATTTTGGACAACTTGTTTTCTTCTTATTTTTATGCATTGCTCAAGATCAGGACCCAATAATGGCAAATACTCTAAATCTTAAATTTGGGATAAAAAAATGTAACTGGAATATACATATTATCCACACCTTCATTTCCTCACACTTGGACAACCCTCCTGTTCCTCAGTAGTTTTTTGTCATGCTGCTGTTTCTGTTAATTCTGTCTTTCTTGGGATCCTGTGATTACCTTTTTGTAATTCATTTTCTTTCTTCCTTCACATATTTTACTTTTTTTCTGAATTTTTACATCACAAAATATGTTTTAAAATAATTGCTTTTTTCTCTGATTTGTTCTTGTGAAGCACCTTGTGATTTTTTTTCTAGTGAGGCGCTATAGAAAAAATGTTTCTTATTCAAAACTGGGTGCAGCAATGATTCACACCTAACTTAGTTCTATTTGTGCTTCATTTTTTTATACAGAAACATTGAGAATATTCTCAAAGAACTGGAGAAGGCAATTGAATATGGAGATGAAAGTCCTGCATCGTATGTAAGTGTGTGCAGATCTCGGATCTGGATGGGTGCAAGACTGGCTCTTAGCCGGAAGTCATTTCAACCTCATTGGCGCATCGATGTCAAGTTCATGGACGATGTTGGAAAAGCTGAAGGAGCAGTTGATTCAGGGGGACCAAAGCGGGAGTTCTTCACCCTTGTTTTGGATTATTTGCATGGTAGTGAGCTGTTTGTAGGACCAGAAAACAGCAAATTCATATCTTACTGCAGTTCAGGTGAGATGCATATTTAGTAATTATTTGACATGTCAAAATCAAGGATGTATTAAATGTTGTTGTTTTTTCAACAGTCATTTTAGCCACAAAAAATATGAACAGTATTGCAGTATTAACATTAGGGGTGTGCTGATTCACAATTTATTCGATGCATCGCAATGAGACGTGCCAATTCAATACTGATTTGTAATCTTTCATAAATGATTATAAATAAAAACTGCCACAAAGCGTGGAAGAAACATGAAAATGAAGCATGCGACCTGGACACTTAAGGGGACTGATCAGCAGTAAATAACAAAACAGCAATGAACAGCTGTTTCTCAGTTCCATTGTTGGTTCTTTTTTAAAACACAGGAAAGGTTTCTCTTTACCTTGCTGACAGTTTGGTTTGCCGACAGCAAAACATCCTCAGAGCTGACGCTGTGCAGCTCCTGTCAGCAAGGTAAAGAGAAACCTTTCCTGTGTTTTAAAAAAGAACCAACAATGGAATTAGAAGCCAAACACAGAAAGAACATACCAAGGAAGCTGTTTCTCAGCTTCAGCCACTGATGGAATTCACTCATCAGGACTAAAGGACAGTTGTGTAAAGCTAAAATAAAATACACCAACAACTCTACCAACATGTGACAGCCCCTTACATGTTTACAGTACGGATTAGATGAAGAGAAAAAGCCGGTGGTTGTTCATCCTAACCAGCTAACTATCAAGTAATGATCAATAAAACTGTCCCGCAACTCCAGCCTCTTTCATAAAACTACAGCATTACTTTGCTGCAAAGCTGAGGCAGCACCAGGGGGGCGTTTGTTCGTTTATAAGTGTTCGATCTGTGGCAGTAGTGTGGTGCGAATGCGATCGTGTATTTTTAATAAGATTCCACAATAGCGGTATAAAGTGGGTGTGGGGGTAGTCTCTATCACAGACTTCACTGAATTGAAATTTAATTGTGAAGTAGCTATGATTGCACACCCCTATTTGACATAGCATTAAAATTTCACACCATTGCTAAAATAAAAAAATGTTATTTCTTCACTGTCATCTGTTCTAAGTGTATTTCACAAAGCATAGTTTTTTTTATCTTTAATGTTCCTCACACCACACACAAACTCTACCTTTGTAGCTATGGAAAGAGATGACTACTTCTACGCCGCAATGACCATTGCAATGTCTCTAGTCCATGGAGGACCTGCTCCCCGGTTCTTCTCCAGAACTCTATTCCATGCACTCACAGAGTCACCAGAGATGACAACGGTGACCATTGACGAAGTTCCAGATTTGAAATTGAGAGAAGATCTACAGAAGGCCAGTATATAAATACACATGTTTATGTATATAACATACATTATTTGGTGTATAAACATATATCACAATATTTTATAGGTTTGTTCTGGTGAAGTTCCTGAGAACCTTGAAGACACCATTGACTTGGCAGGGTCACGACGCAACTTGGCAACACCTGAAAATGCACAAAAAATGGCTCTGGACACTGCACACTGGTACATCTTTGGCAGAACACGGTCTGCATTTGAGAGGTAATGATAGTACACACAACCTTGTGCTAGTGACTATTAAAAGCAGAACTCACAACAGTCATATTACTTACACTATTTTACTTTATACCAAACACACACCAGATGCAAATTCTTCAAACAGTGCCCCAGTGATTCAGAATCAGAAGGGTTTTATTGTTATGTGTGCATGAAATCACAACATTAGGTAATTGCTGCGGTACTTGGTGCAAGAAAAAATAAATGATTAGCAAAAATTAGAATTAAGAAAGAAACCCAATGAAAAGATAAAAATATAATATTGGCAATAATTAGAGAAGCGGGTACTATTTATACAAGACAGTCTAGGTACTGGTCAGAGCAGATCAGTTGAGGTGCCAACACAACACAGGGTTATGTGACTGAAGCAAAGCAAATGGAGTGGGCAGCTCTATGATTGACATTCCTGGCTCCGACCACATGGGAAGAAACTGTTCTTGCCAGATGGGAGTGAATCCCAATCCTGTCCCTCAAGGCACATTGCCCTGCATGGTTTAGATCAGACTCAATTCTGGGCCTCGATTACCGGTTTCCAGCATGTTTTAGTTTTAACCCTGATTCAAAACACCTGATTTCAATCAGCAGGTGATTAACAGGCTTCTGCAGAGCCTGATGAGATGCTGCACAGGATCAAGTGTGTTGTAGCACAGAAACCACTAAAACGTGCTGGATACTGGCCCTCGAGGCCCAAACGAATAGCCCTGATTTAGATGTTGCCTGGCTATAAAGACACACAAAGTTTTGGCTTTAACACCCTCTGGTGTTGTTTTAATTCACTGTTATAAAAACAAACTGCTGTACTCTCCTCCTCATGTGCTGTTTTCAACACTTAATCTAACCGCTGAAATGTCTCCTCAGCCTTCAATGTTTTCTACAGGAGCGATTCATCACTAAGTCAAACAAATCAGCTGTGATCACACAGGGAAAGATTTGAAAACGTGCAGGAACCACACTCCTGGATGCACACTCCAGCACTAGCATGTCAGCTAGCCCATAGCTAGCTGACCATAGGTCTTGGTACTGACATACAAGTCCCTACAAGGAATGGCTACAGCCTGGGACGTAATTTTTGGGGGGGGACGGGTGGGACATGTCCCCCCCACTTTTTCAAAAGGCAGTTTTGGTCCCCTGCACTTTTTTCCGTCCAAGAACAATATTACGCTCCATTAAATGGATTTGGTTGAGCACTAGGACCGAAACGGAAACCGGTTTACTATTAGACCCGCCCAAAAGCTAATCTATTGGCTCTGCTGATACTTGCTAACGTATTATTGGCTGTTGCTGCTGTCACTCAAGTTGTAAACAGTCAGAACGTGCTCACGTTGTTTTGCTAGTTTGGAGCCGCTAGGGAACACCGGTACTGAGTCACATCGTCAACTAGACGCTGTGTAATATCAGAGCTCAGCTCAGCTTCCATTACATAACATTTGAATAAGTGTTCATTTGTGAGTCTTTGGTAGTTAGGCACAGCCAGGAGGCAGCATGTCAAGAAAACGAAAAGTGGATATAAGAGACTTCTTTCAAAGTCAAAACGTAAGTTGGAACATGTGACACCCCTGCATTAAGCTCAGACTCACCTCCTCCTTCACAAACATACTCAAAACTAACTTTTACAAACTCATCTCCTCCACATAACTGACTCCTCAGACACAATTTATTCGTATTATTATAATTATTATTTTTTTAATTACTATTATCATCATAATTATTATTACTAGTAGTAGTAGTAGTAGAAGTGTAACTTCAAAACTTTTATCATTTAACTTTATTGTAAACGTATCTATTGCAATGTATATGTTCACATTAAAAAGCTCTGAAAAATGAACAGTATCATCATCGTCAACAGATTTTTTTAAGCTTAATGTCAAAGATGTACACTTTTCATTAGATTTAGCTTATTTTTTCCTTTTATTTTTTGTGTGTTGAAATGCAACAACTGTTTAAACACTTTTAAGGGAAAAAAAACATTTAATATGTTTTTATACACTCAAATGTTAGGGTGATGATCATGTGTAAAACATTAGTTCAGCATGTCCTCTAACACAGCAAATGAACAAACGGCCAGATCTCAGGAGGGACCGTTTATGTATAAATAATTTTTATACTTTTGACTAGGCCTGGGAAAGTAACACATTTTGCTGGACGATATTTTGTCCAACAAATTGTTGATGATAAACGATATTGTCAACATTATCTAGACCAAAATAACCACTAATATAATGTTAATATATCATAATAATGCAAGTACACCCTTTAAAATGCAACAAATAAACCTTCATTTAACATTGAAATGTCCAGAACCAGAACTTCTAAATGAATAAAAATAACAAACAAAAATTAAATAAAAAAGGAATCTCACTCCGTTTGAAAATGTTGCACCAAAAACAATAAAAAAAGACCCAAAACAATAAATACAATGGCCTGTCCATTGTCAACAGCCAAAACTGCACTTCAATAATGATAATAAATAAAAATAATAATAGAGTTGTACATTTTTTAACTTTGATATATATATATATATATATATATATAAAGAGAGAGCGAGAGAGAGAGAGAGAGAGAGAGAGAGAGAGGATGGAAAATTATTGAGATGGGCACGTGACGTGTCAAGGGGTCTTTACATAACACCCCCCACCCCAAATCCGCACAAGCCTGCTGTGTCCCCCCCACTTCTGAAATCAAAATTTCGTCCCTGGCTACAGCATTATCTTGTCAGCCTTTTGCATAGACATGCCCCTTCGCGGGACCTTTGCTCTGATGACAGGGAGCTGTTGATGTTTCTGTGCACCAAGTGCAGGTCACGAGGGGACCGTGCGTTTTTCTGGTGTTGGCTCATACACTTTGAAACCAGATGCCTTTGGTGGTGCACCAGTCACCTCCATTGATGGTTTTTAAAGACCCATTTTTATGTCAAGGCATTCCAGGATTAGCATTTTTTTAACTTGGTTTTGTTGCCCCTGCCTCTTATTATTTTTACTGTATTTTAATTGTCTGTTTTAACTTCTCTCTTTTAATATTTCTATGTTGGTTTTACGATTGTTACACTTTATTTAAAGCTTTTATGTTTTATTTGTGTTGTGTTCAGCACCTTGGATCCGTCATGGAATCTTATAGAATGAATGAGATGAAATAGACATGTAAATGTAGACCCTTATTACACACTGGATCACTCTCCAAGAAACTCGTTTTGGTCGCTTGTATCTGCGATCTCATTCTTTCTGTCACTACCCAAAGCTTGTGACCATAGGTGAGGGTAGGAACGTAGATCGACTGATAAATCAAGAGCTTTGCCTTCTGGCTCAGCTCTCTCTTCACCATGACAGATCAGTACAACGCCTGCGTCGCTGCAGAAGCAGCACCAATCTGCCTATCGATCTAGCGCTCCATCTTTCCCTCTCTCGTGAACAAGACCCCGAGATACTTAAACTCCTCCACTTGAGGCACTAATTTTCCTTTCTTTTTTCAGTTTCATATTCACCAGCCTTTGTTAGCACTCCACCTTCTAGTAAATTTAGCTGTCTGTTGTAACCTCAAAGTCAGCCACTCCTGCAAGATTTGCAATGAGATCTTTCAGGATCACAATCTCATTACAGGGCTGTAGTTCAAAGCCCTTTATTTAACTGGATCTACGCTGGATTTGGATTTTATAGCATTTTCCCAAAAGCTTTGGCTATTACTAATCTTTGTTTTTGTACAAAGATTTCATATAGCACGTTACAATGTTCGCTCTTTTTTTTTATATATTAATTTGAAAATCACTTGCTAAATATATTTTGTCATGCTAGGTTCAAAGATGGCTTAAAGACCCTGGGTGTTTATTCTGCCATGATGGAAAACAAGGAGTTCTTCTTGAAGATCATGTGTCATCACGACAACCGAATAACAGCCGAAAACATCAAAAATGCATTCAGACCTGTGCTACACACCCCTGGGTCCAACAAGCGTTCCACTGAGAACTTGATACTCTGTCTGTGGGAAAACTTCATCTTGGAAGCAGAGGGTATGGGAGGCATACTAAAAAAATGAGAATATGATGCAAAGTTCATTTATTTCAGTAATGTTTCATAAATTTTTGAGATGTTTAATGTGGGGTTTTCATCAGCTGTAAGCCATAACATTTTGTTACAGTTATAACAAATAAACAGTTGAATTATCTGGATTTGCATGGAATGCGTCTACTCATAGATTTGTTTCACCTTTAAGTTGAATTACTGACATAAAGTAACTTTTGCTCCAGATTCTCATTTTTCTAATTTCACCTGTACGTTGTAAAAACACAAACTGTTTTTATTTCTGCTTTGTTTTTGTTTCTGAAATAGAACAACTCATAACAATTTAACCTGGAAGATGATAAAAAAACAACTACAATTTACATGGTTAGGCCTTTTTAAAAACTTTACATTTTTATGCATTATATTTAGAATGTCACTTTAACCCTACAGTTTATGAATATACATGCTTATAGAAACAATGCTTCCAGTACTTTCCAACATTATGTCATTTTTTCTTTATTTTGTAGATGAAGATTCAGATGTCTCGTTGGAGATGATCCTGTTTTTCTCCACTGGCTTGAAATCCTTTCCTCCACTTGACCTAAGGCCCAGTCCAACTCTGTGCTTTCTACATGATCCTGAGGAATGTGGGGAGTTTTCCAAATACCCAAAAGCTAACACATGCACAAACCGGCTGTATCTCCCCATAGTCCACACAACATACCAAGAATTCAAAAGCCACATGGTTTTTGGGATTGGTGCAAGTGAAGGGTTTGGACTATCATAGTTATTAAATGATTGTTCCTTTGTTCAAGGTTGGCTAATAGAATTATTTTGAAATGTTTTATTCATATTAGCCTTTGCATTTTAGGTGCCAATTTCTCCCACAGAAAACAGTTTTATTGGTTAGAGTACAGATTTTACCAAATGTGCTCCATTGTTCTCATTCTGATTCTATTGAGTCTATTGTTTTGAATATTTGTTTGTCCACACAAGTCAGCCTCAGTGAATGGGGCAATGACTTTGAGGGATCTTTACCCGCCTCTGATTCCACTGCTGACATTGTCGTGCCAGAGCATCCAGACTCATTAATATAAAATGTCAACAGATTGTTGGACAGAATAGACCCGTTAACAGCCAGCTCATGTTTTGGAGCAGATTTGTACATGGAAGCACTGCGGCTGGCTGAATTTTTGATGGCAACATTAAAAAAATCTTTAGCTCACTACTGCAGAGTGTTCTGTATTTCTTCCACTTAAGTGATTTTTATTGAGGCATGAGTACTTGTAGCACTACATGAATGTCGTTCCTATACCTTTTTGAATGAACAACCAGCCCTTATTAAACAAACTGCACCAAAATGCAAAAATACTGACTACACATCTACAACACTGTTAAGACAGTCATTTTTATCAGTAAAATATGTGACTTTCTTGTGATATTGGTGAATTTCTTTAATCTACAAAAACTTATTGAAGAAGTGCTACAGTTTTATTGAGCTTTAAATTTGAATACATTAGCAGGCGGTGACTTAGGATACTGACTAATTAAAGTTCTTTTTCCACTTTTAAAATTCAGGTCAAACTCCAGCTGTTTGTTGTAGTAAAGTTTGACTTACTGTGTGTGGTATAAAGTATAAATTCAGCCATACTCTATTTTTCTTTTGACAAGATCATCTGAGGAGAAAACTTCACATCCCATAACCTTCAGCAGAGACAACAGTAAGTTTAGTGCAACAAAACTATTGTTCCCCTAAGGGAAATGATTATCAGACACATTTTACATATATAGTTTTAATAAAGATAACATCACAATTTTAATAATTACTAACCTGTAATTCAATACAAAGGATTTAAAATTCAGAGATGAAAAGTACATATTAGTTAGCTCTGGCTTTTTCTCTGATATGTGCAAAAAAAACAAACTATTTAAAAAGAAAACGCCATCAACATGTAATTAATAGAATGGAGTTTACGCAGCACCTGATCAATGCTAACAGGCTGTCAGCTTTACAATATGCTTAAAGTTAATCTGTAGAACAGTGTGTTCTGTCAAAGAAGCAACTGTGATTGCTGGTCTCACCGTATGTCATACGTTTAATAAAAGTTAAAACAAAAAAAAAAACCCGCATCTAATAAAGTGACTCTCCGAGACATGCTTATGGCTAGCCTCTCCGATGCTAACGCCAGCCTATCCATGCTAATGGTCCGTCGAGGAGGTAGGAAATCCAGCTAGTGGCCAGCCTAGGCACGCTTATGGCTAGCCTCTCCGATGCTAACGCCAGCCTATCCATGCTAATGGTCCGTCGAGGAGGTAGGAAATCCAGCTAGTGGCCAGCCTAGGCACGCTAATGGCTAGCCTCTCCAATGCTAACACCAGCCCGTCCAGGCTAACGCTAGCCTATCCATGCTAATAGACAGCAGAGGGAGTGTGAGATCCAGTCAATTACCAGCCGAGGGCTGCTAGTCCCTAGCATATCTAGTAGTGACGCCGGTAAAGGTGCTACTTCTCAGTAAGCAGCGCCAGCCTCTCAGTTACCGGCGCCAGCTTATCATTAATCAGATCAGTAGTTTGCTTCGGAACTTATATAGCCTCCTGCTGCTGGGCAGTAGTCTTAATTTTGGCCCCCATACCGCGCCATAGTTTTCAGGGCACGACCAACTGGGAGGAGGCCTAAAGGAAGACACAGGACATGCTGGAGGGACTCTCTCTCGGCTGGCCAGCAAATATCTTGGGATTTCTCCGGAGGAGCTGGCCCAAGTGGCTTGGGAGATGGAAGTCTGAGCCTCTCTGCTTAGGCTGCTATGGCCTATAAAAGCTTCTCCTTAGCCAGGAGGTACACAGGGGAGAGGTTGGTGGAGAGTTTTGTAGATGATATGTGGGGGGATAGGGATATTCCCTGTGATTTGAACCTCAACTACTACCTGGATGAGCTGAGGCTGCCTGTTCAATCTGGGTAGGATACTTGCCCGGGGAGGGATGGTCTGGGGCAGTGTTTCCCAACCCTGGTCCTCAGGGCACACTGCCCTGCATGTTTTCCATGTCTCTGCTTCAGCACACCTGATTTACATTGGCTCCTCAGGAGGACAAGTGCTGCAGAGGTCTATTAATCACTCATTCATTTAAGTCAGGTGTGTGGCAGCAAGGAAACATTGGTGTTCAAAAGGACAAAACATGCAGGACAGTGTGCCCTGAGGACCAGGGTTGAGAAACGCTGGTCTGGGGTATCTGCTGCAACAGTGCGGGTGATTTCTTCTTGGAGGAACTCTTGTCATTGTATAACACTGTGTGGGAGACTGGTCGTTTGCCCACTGAAGGGAGGCCCTCTGTTATTCTTCAGTTTCTGAAGCTGGGTAAACACTCTGGGACCATGGACTCCTACAGACCTATTGGTCTGATATCTGTGGTCTGTAAAGTGAGGGAGCACATGGTCAACTCAAGGTTGGTGCATTTCCTGGAGCGTGAGGCTTCCTTGCTCGGTGCCAGAGTAGGTTCAGGCTGGGATGTTCTACGATGAATGCTGTGGCACCTCTGGATTTGGACTTTAGTCGGGCAGTGGTGAATAAGGTGGCGGTATTGGTGGTGTTCCTTGACATAGAAAAGATCAATATGCTGTGGAGAGAGGGGCTTTTGATTTTGTTGTATTTTGCCAGTATTCAAGGGAGGATGTTGTGCTGGATCTGAGGTTTCTTCAGTGACAGGACGATTCAGTTTAGGGTGGGTTCTGTGTTGTTGTTATCTGTGAGGGTGGAAAACAGGAGTGTGATTAGTCCAGTTCTTTTTAATGTCTTAGACAATGGTCTGTTCGACTCCTAGGGTGGTTGTGTGGGAAGGTCCTTGTTTGCAGATGATGTGGTCTTCTAGAAGCGGAACTGGAACCTTCCATTTCTGTTCTGCAGGATGCATGATGGCTTGGACAGTGTGATGGCATGGACAAGGCATTGGGACTTAAGGTTGTCCCCGACCAAAACTAAGTTCATGGTTTTTGGTTATAAGAGGAACATCCCGACGATGGGTTTGCTATTGAGTGGGCTGAACCTGGAGCAGGTTCCCACTTATACGTACCTAGGCTTGTGGCTGAATGAAAGAATGGCCTGGGGTGTTCATGTTCAGAGCTTGTTGGCCAAGTGTAGTCATGTTCTGAATGTGATGCGGGCCGAAGAGAATTAAGGGAGGCTTTCCTGCTTGGCTAAGAGAGTGTGCGGTAGAGTTGGGATTCCAAGAATGGTTGTTGAGTTCTCACATGGTTTGGTCCGAGGTTCCTCCCTGGATTTTGCCTGAACCTGAGGTGGATTTTTATTTATTGAGTCAGGGTGTGAGGAGGGCAGGGGATTTCGAGGACTTTATGGGGAGGGTTTAGGAGTCCTTTTTGCATCCGTTTACTGATGGTTCCAAGGAGCTGGTGAGTGGTAGAGTGGCAGTGGGGTTAGTGGTTCCCCGTTTAGGTTTTAGTTGTGGTCACTGGATATGAGATGGTTATATGGTGTTCATGGCTGAGTTAGTGGCAGTCCTGTGTGTTTTGCAGTGGGTGGAGGAGCATACAGTCATTTTCTCTGACTCTGCGGCTGCCCTGAAGGCAATGAATGGGCAGATGCTGTGGCTAGGTGTGCTAGGGAGGTAGGATGTGGACTTGAGGGTGGAGTTTAGACTGTCAGAGTATTGATCTGCAATTGATAAGGTGGTAGGGGGTTGTGGCAGGTCTCTTGGAATGAAGGGGCCACTGGGCGGGCCTTTTATGAGCTGTGACAAAGTGTGCATGGTCTCGGCATAGATCTTGTACGTGGTAGGAAAGATTATTCGGTTTTGACCAGACTAAGATTGGACCATAGCTGTCTTTGTGGTGGACTGTTTTTGATCGGTAAGCACTCGGATGGAGCCTGTGACTGTGTGGACCTCGAGACGGTGGGTTATGTGCTGTTACATTGCTGCTGATACGCAGTGGAGCGGCGTGCCTGGTTTGGCTTTTGGGGGATGCGGGGTTGACGGTGTTCCGTTTGCAAACCTTGTGGGATGTGAAGGATTGGCGTCAAGTGGGGGCACTGCTGCATTTTCTGTGGGTGACTGGGGTGTGCAAGAAGCTGTGAGTGAATTGGTTGCTGTTTGAGTCCTGTTGTGGCAGCAATACACCAGTTAGGTGTCCAGACTGCCGTCTCCAAAGAAGAAGCAAAAGAGGCACACAGGAAAGACTTCATGATGGGTAAAAGCAAATGACTCTCCTAAGATGTTCGTAATGTTATAGTTGAAAAGCATTCTGATGGGATGGTTATATATGCAATTCCAGAATGCTGAATATCCCTTTAAGCACTGTGGGGATCATTATCCAAAAAAAAAAAAAAAAAAAAAAAACATCAGTTCACCATGAACCAACCAGAATCAGAATCCTGTCCAAGGAGTCCAAAAAATAATCAGGAGAGTTCTCCAAGAGCCAAGAACCACTCGGGCAAAACAGCGAAACAGAAAATTATAAGCAATGCACTGACATGCCATGTCATCCATGCACGCTCACTCACAAGACTCCATTGCTGAACAACAAGCATGTTGAGGCTCTGTTAAAGTTTGTGAGACAGCGTCTGGAGGACCTTGTGGATTACTGGGACACTGTTTAGCATGGTCAGATGAAAACAAAGCTGAACGTTTTGGCTATCAGCAATGCAGACCACTGCTCTCTCCATACAAGAGGTGCCTAGCAGCTGTAATCACCAGCAAAGGTTTTTCTATAAAGTATTAAAGTGCGTTCAGTACTTATTCATTGTGTCACTTCACTCTATCCATTATAACTCAACCTGTATACTTAAATACTCTTTTAGTACCGCTACAATTTGTCATGATTTCTAGGCTAAGCTTACAATACCTTTTCTTTTTATTATTATTGTGTTATTACTGAATAAACAAAGGGAAATAAGAATCTATTGACATGCAATAAAGCCTCTTGGCCACGTCCATTGCAGCGTTCATATTGGAATAACTTTCTTCACTCCGTCACAATAAGAGTCTCAAACATACACACATCTCCAAACATTGGAAGTTTAGGTTACATTTTCTAATAATACTGTTCTCTTTGAAGTCTCTTTAGTTTTTTTTTTTTTTTTTTCAAAAAAAATTTCTTGGTGTGATTAAGAGATTATATTTAGTAAAAATGATTTAAAATGGCAAATTGGCAGAATTTCTTGTTTTAGTCTAACTGCGCTTTGGGAGGTTGGAATCCAACTCATTTGCTCCCTTTTTCACTAAAGTCAACATTTAAATGAAAACACAATCCCTAGAAACAAATATTTTCTCCAACTTAGTTTCATCACTGTGCAACACAGCATGACTGAGAAGCTTTAAAGTCACACGAGAAGTTACTAAAATGGATGCACTGAAACGTCTGAGGTGAACATCCTATGGGAGGAGCCCTGCTCCACTCTTATATCCAACACATCTAAAAACAACACACACTAACTTCTTTGTGAGAGTGTGTGTTTATGCCTTGCACACTGACCTTATTAGTGAATGTGACTTAAAGTGTTTGAGCATCGTGTGTGTGTGTGTGAGAGTGTGTGTTCAGAAGGTACAGACTGTGATTGTTCTCTCTGGGTGTTAGCTTCTGGCACAGGAAGTGCACGTTCGGGTCAGGGGGGGATCTAGGCACACATAGTCTGACCACGTGTGTTCAAATACCATGGGCTGTCAAAGTCACACAGGAAACGTGTACATACTCATACATGTGTGCAGGCATGATACAGAATTCTCTTTGTGAGCAAGTGCAAAAAATATTTGACCTTTTGGTGCACAACCTGTTCCCACAGTGGCTGGTGTGTTCCTCCAAATGAGCACTGACACTGAAAATGATACTTTAAGCTGCTCTGAATAGATTTTCGTTATGGAATGTTAAACTTCTAGAGGGAGAAATCAATAGTTTTTTTAATTTAACAATCCAACTGTCATGATATTTTAGTCGATTTTTTGTAAAGCTGACTGAAAGCTGTCCTCCCAGTGGTTGTTAATGATTGCATGCACATGTATGTACAAGCAAAAACATCATCACTTTTTTTTTCACCTAGCAGTGTACTCCAATGCAATCTTCGTCTTCGTCTTCGTCTTCCTCCGCTTATCCGGGTCCGGGTCGCGGGGGCAGCATCCCAATTAGGGAGCTCCAGGCCGTCCTCTCCCCGGCCTTGTCCACCAGCTCCTCCGGCAGGACCCCAAGGCGTTCCCGGACCAGATTGGAGATGTAACCTCTCCAACGTGTCCTGGGTCGACCCGGGGGCCTTCTGCCGGCAGGACATGCCCG